GTGTGTGTGTGTGTGACACTGTGTGTGTGTGTGTGTGCATGTGTGTTTGCTTATCATTTGTAGACCATGAAAAAGGTGGCCGAAAATAGGGTACCTGTCAAACTGCATGACTCCCTATATCCAAAGGACCTTCGGAGGTGCACCTGATCAATAGAGTGGACAGCGGCACGAGGAACGACGTAAGGCATCTCTAGACGGCATGCAACATGCCATGCTAATTTTGGCACCAAAAAAAAAAAAAAAAAAAAAAAAGACATGAATCCGGTTCTAAAACCTTTACCGGCCTCACAAAGTAGCACACCCAGTTGTCAGAAACTAGGAAGTTTCCAAGGAAGTTTCCCAGTAATTTCCCCAGGAAGAATTGCCTGCAACCACAGCCCCGGTCCTTGAGACGTGGACAGTGACGTATGGCCCGGAATGCCGGGGATGGGACCGGCTTCACGTACCAAGTACGTTATTCACACGCCAACTGACACCATGTGTGCTCGCCGCTCACACAAACAGTCATTTGTTCCCTTCCCCCTCTGTCATGTTGCATGTCATCACCCCATGTGTTATCTGTATCTGGTCGATCCTGCTTTGTCATTATCAAAGCACTGATCTTGAGAACAACAGATGGGGTTTCTGTAACCTAGCAATTCACAATAATTAAATGAATGAATGATTCCGATTCTTTCAGAATGATGAATAAGTAAAAGGGTTTTTTTTTCTCCTCGCAAAACCGCCCAGTTCGAGAGGGGCACACACACACACACACACACACACACACACACACACACACACACACACACACACACGCACACGCACACATATATATCTAGATATATATGTATATGCTTCCCCAGGTGCATAAACCCCCGCAGTCGCCGGTTCACCGTTTGCAGTCGCCATTTCACAGCTTGTCTTCCTTAAACCACCACTACCTTCGAGCCTCTTTTCGCCAACGCGGAGTAGGACTGCACACCAAGCTTTGCCGAAGCGCCAGCGCGACCTTTTTTCTTTACCTTTACTTTGGCTGGCGCCGTCAGCCATTTGGGCCCAGTGGCGCCCGCCCTCCGAAGAATGCGGTGTAGGTTATAATTACTTCTACCCTTCCGGTCTGAAAGGTAGTGGTGGTTTACGCGTCCTCTTCCTTCCATTGCCTCTCCCATTGGTCTTCCAGTCTCTCTTGTCGATCTGTCGTTCCCCACTCTCCTTGCTCTTTGGTGCACTGAACGCGTTCCATTTCCTGACAACCGAGGTTCCTCCTGCCCCCTGTGAGCGCCCCCCGTTTGATTCTTCCTCAGCAACAGACCTCCATTTCCAAGTGAGTATCAACCGAAGGAGTTTCATTACTGTCCGTCATCACTTCGCCAGCAGCTCTCTCCTCTTTTATGGCCCTTGCATCATTCCTTCACCGCACGTTGACATCCTTCCTTGCCCGCTAGTTTACCCCTTTGCCGTGACACCCTTTCTGCTCTTGTTGGTCATCCTTCTTCTCTCCAATCGCACCTTCCTCTCATTCCGACGGCTCGCTGTTCTTTTCCTGCAAAGGAGTTCATGCCTTGCACATGACCTCTTTCTTGTCCTCAGCCATTGCTATCTCCCATAACCAGCCATGCATTGCCCATCTGCTCCCCTTGCAATCACAACCGGTCATAACATCACCTTCATTACACTGAAAAAAACAACAACGGAGAACTCCGTCCCTCCTCCCTCCTCCCTCCTTCCTCCTCCTCCCTCCGTCCCTCCTCCCTCCTCACTGCTACCCTGTTCAGCAAGTCGTCCCTGATCACTGTTGCTTCCTCTCGTCTCAGGCGCATTCGCTCATTCTCTATTGGGCCTCCTGCGCCTCCCTTTTTCTCACACTGTTGTTTCCCCCCCTTCCCTTCATAAAAAGAGTTAAAAAACTACCTACCTACCTGATGAGAACACACATACAATTGGAGAGAACTTAGAAGGGAAGGGGGGAAAACTACCTCCTAGGCTCCTACAGACCGAAGGTTACTCCCACGAGGAATGCTGCAAGGACTTAGAAGCAATCCCAACTCTTTAACGCAGATGTCCATCGCCCGACCATCCATCTATCTGACCATTGTTACACAGAACTCCACACTACACCCGACAGCGGAAGCTGATTACATCTAAAGGAATCAAGATGAGGCAAATCCAGCACAGCACGGCGTAGCTGACCGACAACTACAGCAGCACCGCATGGCGTATTCGGCCCGCAGCTATAGCAGCACAGCATGGCGTAGCTGACCGGCAACGACAGCTTTCCAACCGGCGACAGTCACTGTATTATCATCCACTGATTGCGCCGTGACCTCTTTTGGGAGAGATGAGAGCCTCTCAAGAGTGTTCCGAAGAGATCAGCAGGGACACAAGCAGCTAGAATAATCGAGCAACGAAAATGAGACAACGACGGACCTGGCGCTTTTTGCCGTTGGCGGTGGTGTATGCTGCTGCTGGCCCTTCTCCGCCACGCACACAGATCATCTTCTCGCTACCTTCACCGTTCGGCGTGGGCGAACTGATGACCGCTTCTTTAAGATGAGAAGGGCAAGTCCTCCGATGACTGCTAATGTGGTGGCTACCCCTGAATTCGCAAGCTTCATCCCCCAAGAGAGGGGTAGGGGCAGATCTCGGACCGCCACCTCCTTGTGAGAATTATTAGGTGGCGTAGAAATGGAACTCCCCCTACTCATAATCTCCTCCTTGTTGCCTTGAGACTGCCAAAGTGTTTCTCCGGTCGCACCACGCCCTAAACTCTTCCAATCCCTCGACTGGGTTGTTTTCCCACCGGCGTCTCGCTGCAACGTTGCAGCGCCATGCGTCCCCTGCTTATCATCGTTACCTTCGGTATTGTAGACCACGCCTTTGTCAGCCCATTTCCGGCCTTTGTCTATCATTATGTCCTCAAACAACTCGTCACACAACCGATCCCACTCCTGAGTTACGCTTTCATCAAGATGATGATCCTGTGCTCTTTGCACTGCCCAGTCATCATCGGTATCACATTCAAAATCCTCCCCCCTCCCCTTCCTTTTGTCAGTCCGTCTATCTGCTGCCACTATCTCTAGCCTCCTCCTCAAATCGTCTGGATCCACCCCTCCTCCCATCCTTGCATGCCCACTAGCAACCCACTCGTTGTCCATCGCTTCATCCCCACTCTTTTCCATCCTGACGCTTCCTTTGCTGACCATATTGTGAAGGGCAATCATTGTGCTTTCGCCACCCATGTCATCTCGCACAGCGATTGGTTCCTTCGTGATGCGCCGGGCCACCTCTGCATCTATCTGTCGTTTGAATTGAGAGGACCAGACGGTCAACGCGCCACAAAGACTGGAGCTGAGCAACGATCCTCGATCGTTTTTCGCTTTCCTTCTGCTCCCCGTTCCACCCGGCTTTACCATGACATCAGGTCCAAGAGTGGCACTGCGCTGGTGGTGGCGGATGTTCTCTCTCACTGTGTTTCTCCAAGCCTCCACACCTTCCTTTTCCTCCTTAAGCTTCACAGCAGATGACACACCATTGCACCGTTCCGGAACAGAGGAGTCGAGGCTTTTCGAATGGCGGTGCTTTGGCTTTGAGACCCTCGTTCCGCTTTCTCTACACAAACTCCTCCTCAATTCTTTCTCCCCTTTGCTGCTTCCCCGCACGTCCCCAGAAAACTTTCCCCCCTTCTGTCGAACTCGTCTAACAGGAGTTTTTTCCGACGACTGTCGACTGCTAGTGGAACAGATACTAAAACGACTCACATCGGCTTTGTGAAAGTAATCCTCTGCATACTTCTTCTCACTGTCGCATCTCTTGTCCTTCTCCCTCCTCCTCCTTTTCCTGCCGTCCAGAACCGTCGGCATCACCGCAGACATACTCCTATCCTCCCACTTCCTCGAGTCCTCCACTTTCACCTCTTCCCACTCCCGTCCCTCCTCTTCTCTCCCCTCCCCCCAACTCTCATTCTCCCCCTTTCCATTCTCTATGCTGGTCGTAGTCGGCATTTCCTGGCTGCCCTCGCCTCCTTGCTCCCGCAGCACCTCCGGTTCCCTACCCTCCAAGTCCTCTGCTTCCGCTTCCTCCTCATTGGACCTATCCTCGTCTTCCAACTTCTCATCGTCGAGATCAAGTTCGCTACAACTTTCCTCATGCAGCTCGTACGGTCCACCGTATCTATAATTTCCTCTTAACCCCTCAACATGAGAGTGTGTGCAGTTATCTTTAGAACTACGCACGAAGAACGTATCTGACGCTGCAAGTTCCGTTCCTTCCCATTTGAGACCGTACTGGCCCTCAGCGTCACATCTACTCAACCTTAGTGCGTCACCTGTCGGAAACTCCTCGGTGAAAGACTGCTTATGACAACTCTCCAAGAACCCATCAAGCACCTCATCGATATCGTCAACGGCATTCTTCCGATGCGATCTTCGCCGGCTTCTTCTCTGCTTCGGAGATGGAGAATGATCGCAAGGTGCAGGAGAGAACTCAAGTCCATAGTCACTGGACAGGCGTCCACGCTCCTGTCTGCACAACTCCTCTCCTTCCTCTGATGGACCTTCTGGAGAATCAAGATCCCATAAGTCACTCGACTCCCAAGCCTCCTCTTGTGAACATGCGTCACTTCTCAGTCCATTCTCATTTAGTGCATCTGGGGCCGAGACGAACGCCCCCCCCTGATCCCTTGATGCCATACCATCAGGGAGCTCGGTACCAATCGCACCAACGGAAGAAACCACACATCCATCGCTACCTCCACAGTTGTCATCTCCTTCATCAAGCGACTCTCTCTGCGCAAAAAATGGATGAAGACGTCGGGCATCCAAAGAGCCCTCCCTCTCCAACGAAGAAAGCAGCACCTCCCCGCCTTGCTCTAACTCCGACTCTAGCAGCTGGGAGAAAGATTCCGCCCGCTCCATTGTGACCGACACCCTCTGATCAAGTTCATCCCAGAGAGACGACTCCATGCAGTCAGTTGTCAGCAGTTGGTCCTCCACTTGCAGGTCATCCTGACCACCTCCACTACTCTGACGATGCAAGCGTGAAACATCCATCCCATCAGAAACAGGGAGAGCCTCATCTGGTGCTGAATCATGTTCCACATCGTGGCAAGATCGGTTATTCAAGGAGGGGGAAACGGAAGAGCCAGCATCACTCCCTCCCTCCACATACGATCCCTCGTCCTCGACTGCTGTGATCGCATCGACTCGATCGGTGACCCCTGACGGCAGTTCTCGTATCGTAAGCGAATCACCGACAACAGGCCGAAAGCCGATGGAATCGTCATTACCACCACCTACTACAATACTCCGAGACGTTAGGTGGTTATCTAGACATGCACCACCTTCTGAAGGATCAGGAGGATTTTGACTGCTCCCTTCCAGCTCAGATCTGGCCCCCGGTTTGTCAGAAACAGAGCCCTCATGTGCTGTCTCCTCTTTACAATCGTCTTCCGTTATGCGAGAGGCAGTATCGACGCAGCTTTGCTGCTCCGTAGAGCCAGCTGTGTTCTGGATAGAATGCTGCGGCTGCGGGTCATCATCATGGCTTTCGTGAATGTCCAGTGTTTCCTCCTGGGGTTCGTGCAGTGTCTTCCCCACGGTTTCTTTCACTGCTGCTGCCATGTGCAGTGTCTTCCCCACGGTTTCTTTCACTGCTGCTGCCATCACCATCCTTTCTTCTGACTCCGCCGCCTCTGTCTCCACTATCATTGCAACCCACCGAGGGGACCCATCCGCAGCCCCCGGCATCACAGCAGCATCTGCTGTACAGCCTGTACCCAAGGATCCACGGTCCGATCCATTGTCAGGAGATTGAACCATCATTGTCTCATCGTGTCCGTTCTCTAGACCTTCACCGTCCTCATGTTGCGGGCTAACACCACTTTCTGGCCTCACTTTAGCGGAACCCACTTGCATCACTGCAGACATGTCCGGTTCGTCAAAACGATAACCCCCCTCGCCACAAGGAAGGGATGTGCTCTCCAAGGGTGACGAGTCTGATGACACCTGACCAGGCGAAAATGGTTCTTCCATATTGTTATCTAGCATAGCTGGCCGAGCATCGGCATCGGTGCCAAGCAGTCGTTCATTTAAACACGAGGCATCTGACAGAGGGGTTTCATCACCACCATCTCTTTGGGGGCATGCTTCCTCGAGCTCGGCTGTGCTCTCACCACGGGCGCATCGCTCCTCATAGACAGGAACAGGGAGCTCATCCGCTTCTGAGCATATCGATATGTCGTCAAGGTCATCGACGTCGGCAACGCTCCGTGTGCTTCTGACTGTAGCTTCTAGAGGATCATCTACAGCATGCCCGACCCCATCGCTCACGAATGGCTGCAGCTCGTCCAGTGGATGCATGGTATCCCCTGCATGCAGCTCGGTGAAAGCTTCAGTCTCAGTCAAATTGCCCACCGCCTCGTCCGAGTGGCTTGTCGGATCAGATCCCTGTACACTGGCAACAATGGTTTGGGGTAGCACCTCCATTATTCCCTCGCTATCAGACTCAACACCGACCTCAGCTTCCATCGAGATCCCAACCCCTGTCGTTGCCGCATAGAGGTCATCATCACAAGCAGCCAATCAAAGCAGGGCAAGGAAGAAACACTGAATGTCACCGAATGCAAGTATGACTTTGTGGAAGCATTCGTTGTACGTTTTTTTTTTTTTTTTTTTTTTTTTTTTTTTTTTTTTATGTCCAGGTTCGGAGTCCTCCCTCCCATATACATTCCATTGCATTGGTGGTTGGTGGTCCCAGGTTGAACAAAAATGTCCTTGGGACCTTCAAGTCTTTGCGTACTTCCTCTGGATTCTCAGATGGGTGAATTTCTGAAGGTTTAGAACTTTGGGCTGAGCAATTGTTCTTTATAACCTGGTCTGAAATCTGAAATACCTTTTTTTTTTTTTCCCCAGATATTAAACTGATCAGAACAGAATCAACAGATACTACACTTGATCTTACTGAGCCAAGAGGCCGAGAAAGGTATTGAAATCTGAAATACTGTTTTAACTTTTATATTAACAAGCGGTCACATCCCCCTACCGGACCCGCCACCCCCCTGCACACACACACACACACACACACACACATACCTGTTGGCTGGAGACTTACCTGTTGGCCGCTGCATTGCTCAGCCGCTGCGTCGGTCGACCAATCCATGGAAGACTCTCTCTCTCTCTCTCTCTCTCTCTCTCTCTCTCTCTCTCTCACACACACACACACACACACACACACACAGTGTATATTTCCATCGCTGATCCTGTCGATGGAAGTGCTCTCTCTCTCTCTCTCTCTCTCACACACACACACACACACACACACACAATCACACACACACAGTGTACATTTCCATCTTGTAGCGGTACATTCGTTAGATTTTGCTGATCCTATC